GATAAATATTTCATTATTTTACCTCATTAAAAAAATAAAAAATAATTGTAGAGATTCACCAAATGGTGACAACTGGAGGTCTACATGCAAAGTTGGAGCCCTACCTACATCATATAATATACAAAAATTAAGTCAACATGGATCATATACCTAAATGTAAGAGTTAAGATCATAAAATTCTGAGATGAAAACCTAAGCATAAATCTTTGAGACCATGGATTAGGCAATAATTTCTTAGATATGACACTACAAGTATAAGCAATTAAGGAAAAAATAAATTGCCCTTCACAAAAATGTAAAATTACTGTGCTTCAAATAACACCGTAAACAAAGTAGAATAATAATTCAGGGAATAGGAGAAAATATTTGCCATCATATAAAAGGGTCATGATATAAAGAACCTCACAATTCAATCATAAAAAGACAAGTCGAAAGATGGCCATAGTATCTGAATTGACATCTTCCCAAAGAATATATACACACAAACTGTCAACAATCACATGAAAATATGCTTAACTTTCTAACTAGGAAAATACATGTTAAAGTCACAATAAGATAATGCTTCCTACTTACCAGAATGACTATAAAAGAAGTCTTTGTAGATGGGGGTGGGGTGGAGGGGTTAAAGGGAGGGCAGGGGAATGGGGAAAAATAAGAACCAAGATGGATTACATAAAGGTGCAAATTTCCAATGATGAATGTCATTACATTGTATACCTTAAATGTACCAATAAAGTTAATTAAAAACTAATTTTCCAATTAAAAAAATGGGAAATAACAAGTATTGGCAAGGATGTAGAGAAACTGGAACCCTCACAAACTGTTGGGGATAAATGTAAAATGGTGCAGTCACTTGAAAAACAGCCAGGCAAATCTTAATCTAGAGTTTAGTATATATAACCCAGCAATTTCATTTCTAGGTGAAATTATCCAAGAAAAATGGAAACGTGTGTCACATAGTAACTTGTAGTTGGAAGTTCACAGCAGTATTATTCATAACAATCATAACTCACATGTTTATTATCTGCTGAGTGAATAAATAAAAGGTGGTAAATAAGTAAAATGGAATACCATAAAAGAAATGAAGTGCAGTTCTATGCTACCATGTGTATGAACTTTGAAAACATTATGCTTAGTCAAAGAGCCACTCATGAAATAGTACATATTACATGAAATCATTTACATGAAATGTCTAAAATAGGCAAAATCATATAGATAGAAAATAGACTAGTAGCTATTTAATTCTGAACTGAGGAGTGGGGAAAGTTGAGGGAAAATGAAGAGTACTAAAGGGCAATCGGTTTCTCAGTGGAATAAAAATGTTAAACTGATTGTGGAAAATAACTAAAATCAATTGAATTATATACTTTTAAGTAATGAACTGTGTGGCATGCAAATTATATTTTAATAAAGCTGTTAATAAGTAAACAAATAAGCCATTACTATACTTTTAAAAAATTACTCTGAAGAAATGACAAAGTCAAGAAAGAAAAAGATATCTTTAATTTTTACTCATAGAAAGACTTACAAATATAAATTACCTACCAACAAAACCTGGAAGTAGGAACAAGATGGCCTACACTAATAATGATTAAAGAACTATGAAAACTGGAAAGAAGGCGTGCTGGACTACCTGGAGACTTTAGCACTTGAAGAACTCCACATATGCTGGACTGGACCTTGGAGAGGCCTAGGCCCGAAACAACAAACAGGCATAGGTAAGAGGATTTAAAAGTCTGTTTTCTCTGGCTAAAGGACTGGGAAATGAGAAGCACAACAGAGACTACATAAGTAGTTTCAATCCTAGCTCCTCAACTGAGGTACCAGTTGGTCAATTGCCTTTCCCAATAGCTTCAAAATACTTGTGTGCCAAGCCAGCTTGTGTTCCACAACCAGAACACTGATTGTAGCATCATTAGCAAAAAGCCCTAGCAAAGCCTTCCAAGCAGTGATAAATCTACTGGACCCCTGCTCAGCACTAAGGTCACCAGCAAGTGGACAGATCCACCCACCTTAGCTACACCTGGGGTTTCCTGGCCCTCTACCCAGGGACATAGGATATTTGGGCCAGAGAGAATCGGAATGTTATTGATACTGGAACACAAATTTGAGCTGACAAGGAATTTCTAACCTGAAACTATGGAGGCCTGAGGAAGTAGCGTAATATTTCTTAGTGCTGAAAGAAAACAACATCTATGAAATCCTATATTTCTAAAAACTACCCCTTAGGAATGAAAGTAATGTAAAATTTTCACACTAAGGAAAACTAAGAAATTTGATGCTAGCACAGTTACATTTAAATGATATGTAAAAAGAAACACTTGAAACAAAGAAAATGAAGAAAGCTGGGAAATTCAGAAAAGAAAGAACAATGTAATAGACAAAATTGCAATAAGTACGATAGACTATCCTTTACCTCAATGAATTTTTTAATCAAATTTTGTAGCTAAAACAAAAATTTTTATACAATCTGATACGCTGCTCAATAAATATAAAATAGTTACTATAGAACACTTTTTAGGGTGAATGGTTAGCTATGTATGGTCCATCTCATTAAACATTCTTGTTTGTTTGTTTGTTTTTGGTACTGGGGATTGAATTCAGGACCTTGCGCTAAATCCCCGGCCCTCATTAAACATTCTTAAAATGACAAAATTTAAGAGTTGACCATATTAGGAATTGCCAAACGTTAAGGACTCAGGTAAAAGGAGTGGTGTGGTTATAAAAGAGTAGTAACCCAAGGGAGCCTTATGGTAATATAATCACCCCCATTTTGATGACAGTTACAAACATACACATGTACACACATGGACATGTATGCATTTATTATTGGTAAAATCTGAATAAACTATGGTATGTGATTTATGGTGAACAACTGGTTTTCTTTGAGGATTGGGTAGTACAAAAATAATTTAACAAAAACTCTGGTCATTCAAATTCGAGCTAACTCCCTTACTTGGTAATACTTTGATACATTGTCACAAATCATACATCTCACATGACTCCCCTATAAAAGAACATTTGGAAGTTTGTGCCTAGTTTCTACAAGACTTGTTCAATATGTCTTGCCTTTCACTGATTTTGTTCTATATCCTTTTATGCAGTAAGCCCTAAATGTTAAGAACAACAGCTTCGGTGTTCTGTGAGCCTCCAATGAATCATCAAGGACAAGGGTTGTCAAAGGGACTGCTAAAATACCTTCCTTGAAGGGCAGGGGTTGTCTCGATTTTACTATTCTGTTTTCTTTCCCAACATTTGGCAGAGTTTAAAGTACCTTGTCAATCTGACAAATTTGTTATTAACAAAATCTGATCTGCTGGGCATGGTGGCGCATGCCTGTAATCACAGCACCCGGGAGGCCGAGGCAGGAGGATAGCTATGAGTTCAAGACCAGCCCGGGCTACATAGTGAGTTCCAGGTCAGACTCAACTACAGAGTAAGACTCTGTCTCAAAAAAAAAAAAAAAAAAAAAAAAAAATCTGATCTAGCCAATAATGACTCAGCAGCCATTGAAACCGAAATGTCAAGCAGAGAAATGCACATCTAGGGTATGGCTGACACCTATTTTTCATCAGTCCACTTTACCCTGCACCAGCAGTGGAGAGGGTCATGCCAGAAGTGCCAACCGGTTGAGAAAGTGCAAGGGAACTGCATCATTTTATATACCACCACATCGAAGCTTCCAATACCTCACCATTTCTTTTCTTTTTGTGTACCTTCATTGAGTTACATCCCCAATATTTTCTTTATTATTTTGAGAGTCCCCCTAAGACACTAAGCTACACAGGCAGTGCTCATACTTGTGATCCTCCTGGCTCAGCCTCCCAGAGTGCTGGGAGTTTAGGCACGTACCACAATGTCTGGCTTTACTATTTCTTAAAGTAAAACTGAATTTGTACAGACTGTACATTTGGATTGCTCTACATGCTAGCCTAAGACAAAGGTCACATCCCTATCCTGTGGGTCTAATAGGCCAGTGAAAATTTTCTATCACATATTAACACAAAGATTTTTTTTTGAGAAAATCTTAACATTTTATTAACAAGTCTCTCACAGAGATTCTCATCTATAAACCACTCAGGCAAATTACATCTTTTGTTGGAGACCAACAGGAGTTAGAGAAATAGTGGAACAGAACTGAATGGACCTACTACTGTCTTTCCCTTTCTCTCATTAAAAGAAGCAATCCTTGTGCGTGTGTGTGTGTGTGTGTGTGTGTGTGTGTGAGTGCGCCTGCACATGCCTGTACGTGGGCACGTGTTAACATATATACTCTTTAAAATAAAAGGAGCATTTCAATTTGTAAGCATATCCTCTGTAAATGCTGATGCCATTCTTATTAAATGCACGCTAACTGCTTGAAATCCCAGGCACATATTCAGGTTCATTTCCTTTCTCCTCAGGCAGTTTCCACAATCCACAGCATGTTCATTTTAACAGTCCTTGTTACTGGTATCATTTAATACTTGAGAGTTTGCTCAAGTTGACATCAATCTTGCCGATCCTGCAAACACTTATTCTGTTGACACAATATAGTCTATCCACCCATACTAAACATAGAAATTTGAAAACCATTCCTTGCCCGACATGTCACCAAGTGAAAATAACTCTATCAGTGACTCAGTCCTGTCACAGTGACATAGCAGGGAGAGACAACAAGCACAGGGCCATTTATGGAATCCCACTATGTTCAATAACATGTTATCTGTCCTCTTGCTCAGCATATGCCCTGCAACTTCTCAAAAATATGTGATACTCTAAAGTCACCTATTCTGGAGAATACACTTACCCAAAAGATATCTTCTTCGACACATCTGATTCTTACTTCCTCATTAATAAATAGATAATCCTTTACCACAAATAACTTTAGTAATCAGAAAAAGACCAAGCCTTTCCTTCAGAAGGAGCAAAAAAACCCACTCAGCATAAAATTTCCTCTTCAGTTAAGCTCTAAATATCTTTGGATGAGTCTAAAACTGAGCAATACAGTATCTTCTTACCTGATTGGAGAACCTCATGCTCACATTACGTTGATTCTGTAGTGGGACATAGCGCTGAACAGGATCAATGTCTTTAGGACTGATTAATTTGTCCGCTGAAAAAAAAGTAACACAAATATTATGGGCAGCTAAATTAGATAAATTAATATACAGTCAGGGAATGGGCTGTTAAGGAAGTGAGCAGAAACATAAAGAAATCAGAATTGTTGCTAGAGGTGCATCTGAAAAAGGCCAGGCCTCAAGATGCAATAGCCAATTCTTCATGCCTAAGAGATAAACAGTAACTTGGAATTATACTATAATTAGTACCACCTAGTCCAGGAAGTACAACTAGGCATCAGGTGCCCAGGTGGGTGACTAGAGCATCCAGACCCATTCCTTCCCCAAAAGCTTTTGTTCTTTCCATGCACCCTGGGTATGTGACCTGCTTCTCCTTTGGACCAATATTAGCCAAGCAGTTACACTTGTAATCCTATAGGTTAATGGTAGTGTGACCCATGCTGTACCCACACTGTGACTCTGCTGTATAAATTACTCTTGACAAAGGGCTTCAGTGGCAACCTACTTTTAGATCCCCTCCTGTCTCTCAGAAAATATCTCTCTCAGTAAGTTTTTCCTACTCTTAACCTCTGTTGTTCCTTAGAACTCATTCTTTGATTTTGGGGAACACCACCAACTTGGCATATCTGACATGTAGCAGATTGGGAGTTACATCTTTCCCCTATGTCAATATTAACAGAAATATAATTGTATGACTCTGTAAACTAACTACAGCACAGTGGTACTATGGTTTACAAACTTAATTTGTTTTACAATTTTGGCAAAGATGGCTGCACTAGTGACAGAAAGATGGCCAGGTCATGTTTGTCACCTGATGTGGAATTTGCAAATGGAAGCAAATTTTTGCTGAATGCTTTTCTTTGCAAACTGGATTGTTTGAACAGAACCAAGGTGTTACTGTTTATGTAAGAGACAGCTATAGAACACTTAACAAGAGAAGACTCTTCAGTTTTCTCAGGATACATAGAACCTCTAGGATATAATTTAATAGGTCACAAAATAAGCTTCAATAAATATAAAAGGATTGAAATGCTAAAAATATATCTTCTCTCATCACAGTGCAATAAAATGAAAAATCATAACAAATTTTAGAAATTCACAAACATGTGGAGATTAAAAAAACACTTTTATAAACCAATTGCTCAATTAAATCAATAAAGAAATTAGGAAATATTTTTGTGGAGATGGGCACAGCTCAGTGCTTGTGTAGCTTATGTGTGGCCCTGGGTTTAATTTCCAGCTCCATAAAAAGAAGAAAGGAAAGTACTAATGCACTTTTGATGAGATGACTAAAAATAAAGGAACAACATAGCAAAATTTATGGGACATCAAGTAATGCTCATAGGAAAATTTTAGCTACAATTGCCCACATTAAATAGAAAAGTTTCAATCAAGAATCTGTATTTCCACCTTAAGACAACAGGCAAAAGTGAGCAAACTAAATCAAAAGAAGTGGGAAGGAAATGATTGAGTGAAAATTAATGAAATAAAGAAAAAATAATAGAGGATATAAAAAAATAAGTTCTTGAAAATCTTAACAAAATAAACCTTTAGGTAGAGGGGGGATCCAAAATTATTAAATAGGAATAAAAATTAGGAGCATCACTGCTGATCATAAAGACTGTAAGAGATTAATATCGACAAATTCACACCAACAAATTAGCTAACTAAATGAAATGGACAAATTCCTGGAAAAAAATAAACTATCAAAATGAACTCAAGAAGCAACAGAAAATCTGAATAAATCTATAAAAAGGAGCACAAATGAAACTTCAGACATACACAAGCACACATGCAGGACATGCACACGCGCACACAAAAGGCCCAGGACCATTCACTGATGATTTCTATGAAGCAATTAAGAAAAAAATTAAAACCAACCTATCACAAAATTTTTGGACAAATAAAAGAAGGAACACTTCTTAGCTTATTCTAGGAAGCAAGTATTTATCTAATATCAAAATCAAAATATCACAAGAAAATGGATGGCTTAACACCTAAAAGTCAATTATTGTAGTATAACTTATCAATAGAACAAAGGACAAGAATCTATATTCCTATCTCAATAGACACAGAAAAAATTAGATACATCCTTTCAAGATAAACATCTAAGCATGCAAAAAATCATTAAACAAACTAGGGACAGAAGAGAACTTCCTCAGCTTGATAGAGGGTATATCAATGGAACACTAAAGCTAACATCACATTCAACAATGAAAGAATCAATGTCCTTCCCCAAAGATCAGGAATAAGACATGAATGTTCACTTTCATCACTTCCAATTATACAAGGAGTTCCAGTCAGGGAAATTAGGCAAGGAAAAGTAACAAAAGGGATTTAGACTAGAAAGGAAGAAGCTACTGTAATCAAGACACTGTGCTATTAAGTAAGGATAGATCAATGGAGTGATCTATCAGGGCCCAGAAATAAACCGTTACATCTGTGGTTTACTGATTTTATTTATTTATTTGGTACTGAAAATTGAACTCAGGGCCTTGAGGTTGCCAGGCAGGTGCTGTGCCACTGAGCTACAACCCTGGCATGGTTAACTGATTTTTTATAAGGGTAAAAAAACAATTCAATGGTTAAAAGAATATAGTTTGTTTGTTTTTTCAAACAGCACTAGGACAACTAGATATCCAAAAGCAAAAGATGAAGGTAGACCTCTTTCTCATACCGTGCACAAAAATAAAACCAACAACAACAACAAAAATAAACCGAGGAGCTAAACTATAAGACTGTGCTGGTTAATCCTGATTGTCAACTTAACTGAATTAAGAGATTCCTGGAGAGGTGACTGGATTGGGAGGGTATTAACCTCATCAATGGATTACTCACTGGCAATACAGCTGAATGGAAGATTACGAAGTGGGGCCCGGCTGGAGGAAGTAGGTCATAGAGGTGTGATCTTGGGAAATCTATCTGGTCCCTGATCTCTCCTACTCTGTGTCATTTCCCTTGCCACTAGATGAGGAGCTTTCTTTTGCCATGTTGTTCCCCCATGGTGTTTCTACGCTGGAGCCAGCCCACGATGGACTAAAACCTCTGAAACTCTTGAGCCAGAATAAACCTTTCATCCTTTATGTTGTGGATCAGGTGTTTTGTCCCACTAATACACTGTTATGAGTAAATGTTTGTGACTATGATTTACACAAAATTACAACAACAAAACACAGGTTACAAAAGAAATTAGATTTCATAAAAATTATAATTGAGCCTCAAAGGCTACTACTGGGAAAGTAAAATGACAGCCCAAAGAATGGGAGAAATATTTGAAAAATATGCATCTTATAAGGGAGTCAGAACTAAAATATATCAAGAAAAATTACAACTCAATAAAAAGACAAAAGCAATTTTAAAATAGTTAAAGTTGGTCACTGTGGCCCATGCCTAGAAACCCAGCTACTCAGGAGGATGGCAAGTTAGGGTCACCTTCAGCAAGTTAATGAGACTATCTCAAATAAAAAGAGAAGGACTAAGGATGTAGGATGTAGCTCAGGGGTAAAGTGATCCTGGTTCAGTGGTTCAATCCCCAGCACTACGAAAAAGAAAAAAGGTCACAATACCTAAACAGATATTTCTCTAAAGAACTTAAATAAATTACCAAAACCACATGAAAAGATACTCAACAACATTAGTCATTTGAGAAATGCTCATCAAAACCATAATAAGAGGGCTGGGGATTTAGCACAGTGTTTCTGCCTCACAAGTGCAAGGCCCGGAGTTCAATCCTTGGTACCCCCCAAAAAAGAGAGAGAGAGATAATCAATTAACACCCACTAGGGTGGCTATAACAACAACAACAACAGATAAGAACAAGTGTTAGTGAGCATGTAGAGAACGTGGAACTCTCATACACTGTTGGTGGGAAAGCAAAATGATACTGCTGCTTTGGAAAACAGTCTTGATGTTGTTCAAAATGTTTAACAGAGGCAGCATATAACCTAATGACTCACAAAATAATTTGTACATGAACATTACAGAGCATTATTTATAATAGCCAAAAAAAAAGGAAACAACTCAATATAATCCATTTTGAGGAACAGAAAAATAAAATGCAATATATACATACAATGGAATGTTTTTCCACAATAGAAAGCAACAACCTACTCATTCAGCCTGCACCATGGAGGAACCTTGAAAACGCTAGGTTAAGTGAGAGAAGTCAGCCACACAAGACCACGCATTATACGCCTCAGGATATACGCAGAGTCCAAAACAGGAAATAGAAAGAACATTAGTGCGGGAGGTAGGGCATTAGGGAAGTGATTAGAGAGAAATGGGGAAGAACTGCTAAAGGGTATATGGTAAAAGGTTCTTCTGAGGGATTATGAAATGTTCTGAATGAACTGCGATGGCTACCAAAATCTGACTACACTAAAATTGTTCAATTATAAACTTGAAGTAAAATATGTATGAGTCATACCAATAAAGCTATTTTAAAAATAGTATGCTTAATAATGTGAAATAGGAAGAAAAGGTCTAAAGGAGTAGAGGAAGTGGGAGGGGTAGGGAAAAAGAAAGAAGGGAAAAGAAAAAATATAAGAAAAGGAAAAACTGGAAACAAAGTCTTTGTAAATAGGGAAGGGTGGAGGGGGTGAAGGAAGGGCAGGGGAATAGGGAAAAAATAAGATCCAAGATACATCACGTAAAGGTACAAGTTTCCAATGATGAATGTAACTCTACTGTATACCTAAAATGTACCAATAAACTTAATGGAAAAAAAGAAAGAAAGAAAGAAAAAAACTAGTATGTTTAAATTGTTAAGGAAAGAAACTAGTTTTTTAAGGATAGATGTGCTTCCTAGTGCTAAATTCTAAAAAAAGATTTCTGAAAGGGTGCATTCTTATCAGACACTGATGTTCATGAGGGCAACAGCCTAAGCTGCTATCATACTGTAACTGTAGAAGCTCTTTTCATGTAGTTCCTTGGGCAATTTTTGATAAAAACCCAAAAATATAACAAGGAAGGCAATCTGGGGCGGTGGTGGGGGACGGGGATAGAAGGCCTTCAGTCAGTGGGTATCTGCTGTTTT